AAATGTGCACACTCGGCACATCAACAATATACAGAAACTTACGCGGTAAAAACTGAACCAATCAAAAGATACAGACAAAAAACCGTAACGGAAACGAAATCCGAACAGAAAATACCGCCAAACGCGACGGAACTGAAAATTGAGAAAGGCGGAATGTGCCTTACCTCGTGCACAACAATATCCTCAACAGTCACTTCGATCGAAAACGGCTCCGCGTCTTCCAGAAATCAACTTTTCCAAAAACTTCTTTTTCTCTCTCCTCAGAACAGTAATTGAGATATTTTAATTTTGATTTTCTCTCTCTTCAAAACGACTGATTTCCCTTAAGTAATACTCAGATCGGCCCGGCCGATCGCAGCATCGTCCCGGGACGATCCGACAAAATGGATCGGCCTGGTCTCCACTCAGGGCTGTGGTCTGGCCGATATTTTCTACAGTGCCGATCGGCCTGGCCGATGTCTCCAATCGGCCTGGACGATGCATGCAGAACAGCACCTGGAGCAATCTGGGCAAATTCTGGAACAAACTTACAACTGATCGTCCCAGGACGATCCAGATCGTCCTGGACGATCCTGGAGCAGATTGTGATATTACACCTTAGGTATTATGATGTTACCTTGGGTGTAGTTCCTCTCAAGACAATCTTTGAACACAACGCAGTCCTCAAGAGGGTGACTAAGCATCCTGTGGTACGGGCAATACTTGGGATCATCCAAGTTGCTTCTCGTGCAGTCCGGTGCTTCCACGGGACTTTAACCATCAGAATCTCTTTATTTCTTAACTTCCGGACGTCGTACGCCAAAATCAACTCTGGCTCTTCCTTGTACGCCAGATTCTCCTGAATCTCAACCTCGTTAGTAGATATCTTCTTCCCAGAGTCGGATACCCACTTCCTCAGAGTGGATACATGAAACACATTATGCACATCAGGCATAGATTCAGAAAGTAATAACTTGTAAGCAGCTTTTCCAATTCTTTCCAAAATCTCAAATGGTCCAACATACCTTGGACTAAGCTTGCTTACCTGACCAAATCTGCTCACACCTTTCATCGGGCTGACTTTGACATACACAAAGTCACCAACCTGAAATTCGACAAACCTGTGCTTCTGATTGTAATACTTCTGTTGTCGATCTTGAGCAGCTTTCAATCTTTCTCTTATCAAATTGATTTTCTAAGCAGTTTCATCAGCAAACGTGGCACCCAAAGCCTGTCTATCTCCGACCTCCGTCAGAGTCAAAGGAGTACGGC